GGGGACGAGGGGCAGGAGAGGGAGAAGGAAAGGCCTAGAGAGAAGAAAAGAGGAGGCGAAATCGCGAAGAGGTAAAATCTGATGAGCCAAGAAAGCATCCCAGTAACATCACTAGCATAGAGCCTGTTCATCGATTTTGTGGTACTCTTGGTATTTTTTATACATAAATAATAGCGTGCACATTTTCAGTACAAAAAAGACCGGCTTACTGTAAATTTGGAATATCTAACCGTCATCAAAACCAAATACAGGAAAATGATTGAGGAGAAAACACCGCCTGTATTCGGCGAGGTAACTGCAATTTTTTGTTTTTTTTTGGTACGACGGCAGGTAAAAATTTCTTATTCGTTTTCGAACTCATTGCATTGGAACAAGCAGGTAGTGGTACCAGCAAGCACTGTGTTGAAGATTTGTGCGCTTTGGTGACCCGGGTTGACAAGAACGCTACGATAATGTGGAAGGCAATGAATGTACTTTTTTGTTGAGGTCGTCAGAGACGCGCTGCATGGAATAGCTAATGGCGAAATAAATATAAATTCAAAATTACGAAACAAAAAACGATACAATGAGGTGGGTAATTGAGGAAAAAGAAATTGAGGTATTATTAGAGCCGAGATAGCCGAGAGGAAACGAGGAGTAAAATGCGAGAAAATTGTAAATGGAAAGGGAAAAAACGAAAAACCGTTGAAAAATCCATATGCTGAACCCGAATATAATAAAATTTAAACGACAACAGGTGCCTCGTGCTCAATTTTTAGGAGGCCATCCGGTTTTTATGCATTTTTTGCAGCTATGCAATGCAGAAAACGCATATTGACAAGGGGTTGTCTTTGTGTCCATGTGTCTGTTTGTGCGTCTGTACCGGTTTTTCATCTCAAGACCTACAAACGCTACAGGGCTGAAACTTTGAGAACTTAATCTACATGCACGTACGACTCTCAATCTCCAAAATATGCGCCCTTACCCGCGTGGTACCCACGTACGGGCTCGCCAAAGTTTTTTATGGGTAAATTCATAACTCGGGGTCTGAGATGCTAGAAACCTGAAATCTTAGGGTGATGTTCCCCGTCCAAGTAGGCGTTAATGATCTCAGAGCCAGCCCCCACGTACGGACCAGCCGAAATTTTTTTCGGGTGAATTCGTAACTCAAGGATCTGAGAAGCTAGAAAATTGAAATCTTCAGCGGATGTTTCCTGTCCAAGTGAGTATTAAGGAGCTCATACCCAGCCCCCGGGTAGGCACGGTATCCACATATAGTCCCGCCAAAACTTTTTTCGGGTAAGCTGATAACTCGAGGGTCTGAGATGCTAGAAAGCTGAAGTCTTAGGGTGATGTTCCCGTCCAAGTGGGTATTAATGAACTTATACCCAGCTCCCGCGCAAACGTGACACCCGCGTAAGGACCCGCCAAAATTTTTTTCGGGTAAACTGATAACCCAGGAATCTGAGAAGCTAGAAAGCTGAAGCCTCAAGAATATGTTCCTCGCCCAACTAGGTATTAATGAACTCATATCCAGCCCCCGGTTAAACGTGGTGCCTACGTACGGGCTCATGAAAGTTTTCTTGGGGTAAGTTGCTAACTCGGGAATCTGAGAAGCTAGAAGACTGAAAGGATGTTGCGTGACAGTCCTGGCGGCCAGTCTGGAATTCTTTTGGTTAGGAGCATCTGCCGGAAAACCCAGTGCCAGTAGCGGCAAAAATCTGCGAGAGCTATGCAAAAAACGCATCTTCGCACGGGCAGCTCGTACGTTGGCCAGTTATTTACCTTTGGATTTGTAAATTATTTTAAGAGTGTCGTTTGCTATATTATTGTTGTTGTTTCAGTGTGTGAAAATAATGCGCCCGGCTCATAAATACATAAGAAAATTGATCCAATGTCAAGATATCAGCTCCACAGATTCACTACGTTACTTACTAAAAATTGGAGATCATATCAGCGAACATTTGGGGAACATTGCTACCAGGTGCCACCATTTCCATCCAATATTTTTTGTTTGTTTTTGTTAAAACAATGTTTTTTTTTAACAAATGTTTTAACTCAGAGATTTAAAGTTTCCAAAGGCTGTGAAAATCATGAAATGCGTTAAATTTTTTAATTTGATTAAATTGTATATGATAATAAGCGCCACACTCTGCATATTTTTTTACTTCACATTCACAATTTTGTAGTCTTTTAGTCTCAGCTCTCATTTCAGCATTCATTAGCGGTTCCAGGCGGGTGGGCAAGGGGCCTTTTGCCCCTCGCCCATCCCCCAAAGGAGCTTAGGTAGCAATTGTTTTACTGTACAGAATTCTGTTTGACACCCCCTGTCGCCCCTCTCTCCTCCCCTCCGCCCCAGGAGCCTTGTCAGCCTCAGTTTAGTGTCCATTGGTGAGAGCGGACGGAGGAGGAGGGAAGAGGAGGGGACTAGCGTGACGATTGCAGGGTGGATTGGAAGTGTCTGAAAGGGGGGGGGTGTAGTGAAAAAGGGAGCAGGGAAGGTGAAAAATCGCCCCCCGCAGCACAGGAGACCGCCCTGGATCCGCCTGTGCTTGTAATAGATGTCATATCTGTCATCCCTTCTACTCTTTGTATCGTCCGTCGTGTATAGTTTACTGCTGTGTTGTCTTGTGCTCCATTTTTATGCGTTTTGTGCTGTGTAACAGCAGTACAAAACGCATATTGTCACGGGGTTGTCTGTGTGTGTCCCACATTTTGTTCCGCACTTTCAGCTCGGGAACCACAAAAGCTAGGCGGCTGAAATTTTGGTATAGTGTTCCCAGTCAACGGATGACATGGCTAATTTAAATTCAACCTTCCCGTACCCGCGGGTAACATGTATGGCCCCGTGAAAGTTTTTTACAGGTAAATTAATATCTTAGGAACCACGGAGTCTAGGAGGCTGAAATTTTAGTGTAATGACCCCCTGCCCATGCTCAACCTTGCCCATTTTAATCCAGCATTCCCGCGCTCTCGGGTACCATCTAGGGCCTCGTAAAAATTTTGGCGGGTAAACTATTAACTCGGGGATCACGGAAAGATATTCACCCCTCAAAGTTTCGAATTCAGCTTTCATGCACTGGTGCGTGAAATTTTTAACTATTTTCCAGTTTTTGAACTATTTTTGCATAGACAAAAGTACAAAGCGGTGAAAATCATTAATAGGCAATCGTTCGATGGGCTGAATTGCACAAAATGCATGATCGCACCGGCTAGTCTGGTGCACGTTGCTATTTATTTTTACTAAGATTCTTCAAATTGCAGTAAATCCCAGCAATATGTCGAGAAATGGAACTCCTATTTGTGGATATTTTTCTCATCTTTCACAGTATGGACACCTACTGATCTGTTGCAGCGCTATCGTATTGCGGCAAAAGATCGAGCAAATCACGAAGGACATGTAATACTTTTTTTGTTATTTAAACTTTCCGTATTTTTAGAACACATAGAAAAGCAGTTTTTGCATAAATGTTTAGAACTGCGTGAATTTTCGATTTCCTTGAACTGATTTCAACTTTTGTTCCTACGCTGACCTTACAACTTTGAAAAAA